AAGACAGAGAGAAGGGGGAAGGAAAAAAGGACAAATATTACCAGATAACATGGTTCCTCATTTAGACAAATTCAAGCCTTAATGACTTAAATTACATATAAACTATATGATCACTTCCCTTCTTTTCCTCCCAAAAGAGATCAAAGGGCAATAGGCATAGATGCTGTCTCCCATAGGTGGCCACTGGCCAGAAGGTTTCCAGTTTGAATTATTCCTTTGGTATTCAAATCTATCTAGAAGATCAGAAGTGAGAACGACTAGTATACACGCTCTTTGGACATCTCTAGAAACCACTTATTGTAGGAGTTTTAAAGCCAACAGTTTCCAACGGGCAGAGACAATCACCTACACACTAATCCATCCCATCTTATTTCAGCAGCAGTCATATTTATAAAGAAGAGAACTGGATGGAGAACTGAATGACTGCCTTTGGTTATAAACCACTCTTTTCTAGAATAATTGGAACGGTCTCAGCTCCTAAGCCTGATGTTTTACAGAGAAGTTTCTTAACCATTGTAAGAGGTATCTTATTCCCTGAAGTCTTACATTCCGTTCTGTTATTTTATTTCCTACTAGCACATGTACCTGGTGTTGCTTGGGTCCTTAAGTAGGGTCCCAGATAGTGTTCCATGTTAGCTGAGTACTCAAGAGAGATTCAGGTGGTGCCCAGCTAATTAGGAGAACACCCACAGCCTCCCAAAGTTGACAGCATGTGTTTGTATTGGTGGTGCGCATCCACTTTCCTTGGTGCATATAACAACATTTATTCTGCTCACAGATGAAAAAAAAAGAGAGGGAACACTAGTCCCAGGGCATGAATTTGGGAGGAGTAGGAGTCAGGGTTGGGAAGTAAGTAGGATTTCTGGGCAGGGAACTGGATGTATGTGTGCAAAGAAATTTGTACTTGCCTGGTGATTGTGTCTCTTTTTGGCATGGCTGCATGAGAAGCAATCCCATTCCAAGCAAAGCCCTTTTCCTAGCACAACCAAACCCTTATGTTGCTTTAAGTTATAGTAAGAGGAAGCTGTACACCAAACTTAGTGGTCCTAGCTCTCACCATTTAGTAGGAGTTCTTGAACGTACAGACAAACAGAGAGACAGACAGACTCTCATATAGTAGACTGAATGAAAGTAACTGTGGATGTTACCATTATCCATATAAACACTTTTTTCAGCATCTTGCGAAACTCTCGACCTCTATACTCTTGCATCCTGTTGCACTCATTTCCACAAATGAATTACACTCTAAAAAATATTTCCTTGAGACCCATTAATCTTCCTTCATGGTAAGAACTAAGTAAATTATTCTTACTTTTTAGGTCCACAGCCAGTTTATAATACATTACTATATTTTGTGTCTCACCCCATGACTACTTAGCTTCTATAACAGCCTTTTCTGAGGGACTTTATCAAAGCCATATTGATTTAAATTTTCATTCTCCTTTATTCACAATATCAACGCATTAAAAAATTCCAACAGACTAATAGCATATGATTTTCCTTTGCAGAAGCTGTGCTGGTTAGTTCATGTATCAGCCAGCTATACATTTCAATTCTATTTTTTAAATATAAATTCCTATCAATTTATATGCTATCAAAATAAGGTTTATTATTTCATAATTTCTTGAATCACCCGTAGCAACATTTCTAAATATGTGTTACCTAACAGCTTTTTTGTATAACAGTTAATTTTAATGAGAAATGGCAGATTTTTGTTGGCAGTTCATTAAGTTCCTCCTGAATTCTTGGATGTACAGCCTCTAATTCTGGTGACTTGCTGCTATTCATCAGTTTGCTCAGGCACCTTTTTTTTCCAGTATCTCAATCACTGTCAGTATCTCATCTTTATAACCCCAAAAGTACAGAACTTGGGTAAGCATTCGATTTATTGCCGCTTTCGTTATTCTAGGTCTATGTCCTCTAGCTATGAGATATCTACCCAGGTTTTCCCAGAATACATTGAAAACAATAATAAGGCAAAATGGAAGGTATGGATGCCCAAATAACTACGACGGCGGAAAAGCTGCTTTATGAACACAAATTGAACAATGTTACTCATAACTAGCTAAAGTTACTATACTTCTCACTGGTTACAAAATCATAGTTAAAAGCTTTAGAGTATGGACAGGTTCACATGACTCATAGCTGTTAGGTGTAGATATGGATTTTGGAAAGGGCTTTTTTAATGTCATCTGGGTATTGATGTTCACAACTTAATGAAGTAAACAATAGGAAGGAGCAAGACCCTCAAGCTTACTGCTGTTAGTACTAGCTGGAGAAAGTTTTCTGTAAAGCTGATTTAACAGAATAAGCATTGCTAAAAAGAGGACCATTGCTAACGGAAAGTTAAGGCTCTGTAGAAGAGTGGGAGGAAAAGCAATAATTACGGATTCACTCTAAAAATTCAAGAGTCCATGATTATTTTATGGCTAAAAGATTTGCTCCTTCCCCCTATATCCAGTCTGATACTAGCTGTTTCAAAATGGCCACATTCAGCAGCATCTATGACAAAAGAAACAGAGAGTTAAAGGAAAACTCCATCACAATGTAAAAGATATTCCAATTGTTGCCGCTAAACAAGTGTGTCTTAAAGTAACAAAATAATTAATAAGAAAGCACCATAGTGACAAACTGTAGTTTACAATGAAAACATGGGAAAGGAAAGGTCTGTACAGTACTGAAAGGCAAGTACTATACTTTTACAAGCACTTTAAAAGTAATCAATTTCAAAATGTAAATCTGAGCTTTTAACAGTTTTTATTATTACTGGTTATTTTCAAAGTGACTGACTGGTATTATCTTTAACAAAAATATTCAGATGTTTCTTTCAACAACAGTTACAGCTCCTGCTTTCTCAGAAATTCAAATACATGTAAATCCCTGATCCTGCAGACAGTTATGCATGTAAATAGTTCCAGTTGTATAGATTTAAGTGTATAATTAAGGCTTGATCTACATGTAAAAGTTGTAGCAATGTAGCTGTGTCAGAGTGTGAAAACAAAACCACGCCCCTGACCATCACAGCCATGCTGACAAACTTGCTCCTCCTTCCCCCCTGCCCTGGGAAAAAGAGCTTCAATCAAGGTAGCTAATGTTGTTCAGGGAGGTGGTATCCTACACTGATAGAACTTCTTTGATGTAGGCTGTCTATACCAGCATAAGCTCTGTAGTGTTGCTGTAACTTACTTGTGCCACAAAATAAAATGCCATCTATAACTGAGAGATCACTAGAGATGAATGATACTCAACAAAATTCATACAATTTTTTACCACTAGTACTAGCAATAGTTTTAAGTGCTCTGCCTCATGTAGGTTAGGATCAAGGTTTATTTATGCTATGACTTGAAACCCTTTATCTAATAAATTGTTAACTATCTAGATTCTAATGACTAGATGCTGCAATGGGATCCATCTAGGCACAATCCAGTTACCTGAAGTCACATCTACACCATAAGATAAGTCCGAATCTATTATGGTTGATGTCTGGTCACCTGATTTTGCGAAGTCAAAAGTCTGTGTTCTCACTATGAGAGAATAGATCCCCTTTGACTTCAATGGAGTTCTGTGTTGGCAACCCTCCCAGGCAAATTCAAATGCAGGATAGTCAAGAGGCAACCAATAGGTGAGTACACACAACTGCTTCAAACAACTGACCCATTAAGATACAAGGCTCTCATAATACCCAACACAGCCAGTTCTGCAACAGCACCACTGCTGGGTGCTCAAGATTTGGGTCTTGAAACAGCTCTGCAGAGGACAACAGAATGGTCCCAACAGACTCCTGTTACACCCTATTTTCTCTTCTCATACTCATTCTATATTTTCTTTCTTATTATCACTTATTTCCTCTTCCTTCTCTCCTCCACATCTTTAGAGAAAGAAAGATATATGCTGTTTTCTTTCCCCCTTGTATTACCTCTCTCCACTTTCCACTTATTTATGTCAAAGAGGGCTCTATTATGTAATTTACTCCCTTCTTCTCATCTTCTTACTCCCTTCCCATTCATCCACCCTTGCAAATAATCTGGATATAACATTTCATCCAATGTCCCATAACCCTTCACCAATCCAAGAGACTTAAGAGCTGACTGATATGAAAAGTGGACTGCAAAAGAGATATAGGTTTGATAACAGCTAGAAACTGTAAAGAAGTTAAAGGGAGTCAGTCCCAAAACTGTAATAGGACGGAGATCCTGTTTCCTTTCAACACTTTCAAGGGAAAGTTCTCATAAAAGGTGGCGAGAGCACGAACAGGGAAGGTGTTGCTCATCTCGTGGCCAGAAACATCACAACTCATCATGCAAAGTGCCCTCTTCCCCCCGGACGGGAAATTAGACTACTGACCCTGCTCCAATTAGCACAATCAGCCCCAGGCAGGGCACACGCGCGGCACAGCGGGCTCACACGCCCCGATGACACTTCTAGGGAGATCAGCCCTAGCCCGCTACACAAATAGGGGTTCTCGGGAGACCTGAGGGCCCGCGAGACGTTGTCAACTAGCTCCAGCCACCAGCACTGGCTCCGGGCAGCCCCTGGGTCGCGGCAGAGCAGGACTCCGGGACAGCAGGCAAGCGGGGGCTGCTCCCTGCTGCCGCCAAGGGCCCTTTCAGCAGGGCGAGCATGAGGCGGAGCGGGGAAAGCACCAGGCCGGGGCCAGCAGAGCAGAAGGCTCCTTACGGGGAGGGGATCAGAGAGGCCCGGGCACGGGATGACCCCCTAGCCGGGGACTCCAAGAAGGGCTAGGCCAGCCCCGTTAGCCAGGATGGGCGGGTCTCACCGTTGGCTCCGCGCGGTCCCTGCCCGGCCCGGGCAGCAGCCGCCGCCCTCACCTGTCCCGCGGATCTGTCCGCACCGCTCTCCGCTCCCTCCGCCTCAGGCCGGCTTCGCAAGATGGCGGCGCTTCCGGGAGGGACCATGGCGGGCTCGGGGGGCAGCGAGACAGGAGAAGACGCAAGCTCCAAGGCCCCTTCCGCCTAGTGAGTTCGCCCGCCCCCACCAGTGTTCTCAGTGAGCCCGTCCGCGTGCCCTCGCTCCCCCGCCCCCAGCACAGTAGGCTCGCCCCCCTCTCTCCATCGCCGCCGAGCAAACCCGGCCGGTCCCCTTGCGGCCGCGAGGATGGGGGTGGCGGTTGCGCTGGGCTCCGGGGCGGCCCGGCTCGTCTTCTACCCGACGCTGCTCTACACCCTGGTGCGCGAGCGGCTGCCCGGCTCCCAGCGGCCTTGGTTCCACCGCATCGACCCGGCCGTGCTGCTGGGGGCGCTGCCGCTGCGGGGACGGAGCCGCAGGGTAACGGGGCGGGGGTCAGGTCGGGAGGTGGCGGGGACTCTAACCCGCCTGCCCGCGCCCGGCCGGCTCTGACTCTGTCTCCCCCAGCAGCTGGTGGAAGAGGAGAACGTGCGCGGGGTGCTCACCATGAACGAGGAGTACGAGACCCGCTTCCTCTGCTGCTCCCCCCAGGTGAGCCGGGGCCTGGGCCAGCCCCACACCTGCGAGGCCCTTTGCTCCTCGGGGTCGCAGGGCGGCGTGAGCGCCTGGGTGGGGAACCGCCTCCCTCCCCCCTCCTCCAAACGGGCTGTGGCTGTCACGGGCCCCTGAACTCTTCGGCCCTGCCAGCTAGGTGGAGAATTTCCCTCTCCCTGGGCAGAATGGCCTGGGCCGTTAAAAGTCTGCTACCTTTCAGCCTAGGCAGAGCTGTTTCTCCCTTGAAGAGAAATGCGATCACTGCTCTAGTCCCCCTTTTCTGAACTTGGTGGCTGTGCAAAGTTTGAGCGTCCTAAAATGATTTCTAGTTGAACAGAGCTAAATGGTATATACTAAACTGTTTGCTTGGGGGAGGGAGGGAGTTTGTGGAAATGGCATATTCAGCCAAGCAGCCCTTTATTCAACACAGGAACAATAAATGTATTTAGTGCTGAGAAGAGACACATCTAGTATAAATCCACTGAGGCGGTGCAGCATGTACATTGTCAGCATAAGTTTCCAATTCCACTGGTTGTCCTGAAGAAATTTCCAGAAGTTAAATAACTGTTTGGTCTCATGGCCTGTTTACTTTTGTGCCCTTTCTGACAATACCTAGAACCAGGCCAGTTAGCATCTACTGCAGTGGTCCCCAACCTTTTGGGGCTGCCAGGCACCCGGGGATGGGGCCGTGCATGCACCATGAGCCTGGGGGCAGTACCGCACATGCGCCTGGGGCCACGCACCTGGGGGTGGCACCACACATGTGCCGCGCACCCGGGGCGGGGGATGCACATGCCCTGGGCGCCCAGGGCCTGGGGCGCAAGAATGGCTTGGACTGGCCTTGGTCACTAGGTGGGCATGCACAAATGCCCCGGCGGGTGCCATTGTGCCCACGGGCACCTCATTGGGGACCACTGATCTACTGTAGTGGTGACACCTGTCCAAAAGAAATGGGATTAAGATCCACTCAACTGTCCATCATTTATTAGGGTGTTCAGTAAATGTGCTTGGAGCTGGACAATACACAGTCCATGCATCTTCTGTTAAAGAAGATAGTTTAATCATCCATACTATTTATTAAGGTGAAGATCAAATTTCAAACTATTGTGGACATTTCTAACTATTGAGTTCTGTTCTTCTCTGGTGGGTGGACTTTAATAGACTTTGTCCACTAGTGACCTGGTCCAGATTTGAAACTATCGGTGAGAGGCTCTTTGTGCTTTCTGATGCCTGGAGGTATCAAAAACTGCAACATTATTGAAGTTCCAGGGAACTTCTGAAATACAGTTAAGGCCGATTATTTCTGACAATAGCAAGCAACATCAGTTTTATAACACCAGACACTGAAAGTGACTAATGTTGAAGTTGAACACGCTGGAGTAACATAATGGCAAATATGAAATAAGCAGAGAAGTTCCTGCTGTACAAATGGAAATGCGAGTTAAGGACTGTTTGATCTGCTTTCTTACCAGGCAGCAGCCAACATCAGATGCATCTGAGGAAGGGAATAAGGCTACCCTCAACATATATTTGTGTCACACTGTACCACAAAGGAAATTTTTTCCTGCCCTGTCTTGCTGGAACTTGTTACTACCCTAAATAATGAGTGAATTAAAAGTCCTGTAACATGATCTCTTATAGAGTTACTGGATATATATATTTAATACTGTAGGAAACAGTTTTGTACATTCTACTACTGTAATCTCTTGCTTCAGTAAATTCCAGAATATATAGCACCATAACTCTGTCCTTTTAGAGAGAATTAAGATTTGTTTCTTTCCCCCCCCAGAAGCAGACGGTCAGCATTCAATTTATCTCAATAATGAGAAAAAATGGTAATGAAGAGAAAGAGAGGAACAACATTGGAGGAGACAGAATTTGAGGCATATTTATTTGACATTTCATTAACAATTTTTCAGAGGTAGCATTGCTTCCCTAACTTCAGAGGGGTAGCCGTGTTAGTCTGTAACTGGAAAAAAATTTAAAACAAATAATCTTGCAGCACCTTAGAGAGTAACAAAACATGTAGATGATAACAGAAGCTTTCGTGGGCACAATCCAATTCTTCAGATGAATGGCAACACCATGACATCATGGTGTTAGGAGGGTCCTAACTAGGGATGTATAATCCTAGTTAATCAGTTAACCCATTAAAACTAAGCTTTATCCAGTTAATCCATTAAGCAGGATCTCACCTCCTCCCCATGTGGGACTACTGCTCCCAGCCCTGCCCTCATAGGGAAGCTAGAAGCAGGAGCCTGCAGCCCCACCCGTGTGGGGACAAGCTCCTGCTTTTAGTCCCCCAGCACACATGGGATGGCCAGCTCCTACCTTCCCACTTGGGGGGCTGAAGCAGCTCTCTGCCCACAGGGCTGCTCACAGGTGTCAGTTAACTGGTACCTGGTAAGCATCACCCATTATCCGTTCACATTCCTAGGGCCAGCTATGGGATTGTTTCCCTCTGCTCTACCTTGATGTTTTCCTGCCGAGACTTTCATCCTCCTCCTCAATAATGTAAAGGTTTTCAGAGTGGGGATGGATCCATTCTGTTGTGTCTTGGAATATCTCATCTACATACTGTCTTCCTTCCCTCCCAAGTTCAGCCACTCTGGCCTTGAGAGCTTGTACTGTGTCTGAGGACCATGAGTAGTTTGCACTGCATGCATATATATTATTGTACGTGCCTTGTGTGGAGGTGTAAATTGGATGGTCCTCATTCTGCTGATAGACTTCTGTCTTCATGATTTTTGCTCTCTAAACTCCTCGGCTGTGTCTACATTGGTGCAATCTTGTGCAAAAGCAGCCGCTTTTGTGCAAAAACTTGCTGCCTATCTACACTGGCCGTGAGTTCTTGCGCATGTAAACTGATGTTCTAATGTATGAAATCAGTGCTTCTTGCGCAAGAACTCTGATGCTCCTGCTCAGGAATAATCCCTCTTGCGCAACTGTTCTTGTGCAAGAGGCCAATGCAGACAGGCAACATGAATTTCTTGTGCAAGAAAGCCCAATGGTTAAAATGGCCATCAGAGCTTTCTTGCGCAAGAGAGCGTCTACAGTGGCAGGGATGTTCTTGCGCAAAAGCACATCTCTTGCGCAAAGGCCACATGCCAGTGTAGACGCTCTCTTCTGGAAGTTTTTGCACAAGAACTCTTCCGCAAAAGAGTTCTTGCGCAAGATCATGCCAGTGTAGACGTAGCCCTCTAGTTCTCAGTGCTCTCTTCGCTAACTCCTTTGGCTGGCTTTTAAACCCCTGATCTCCTGCCTCACCTCCTTGTCAAAGGATGCTTAGGGAGTTAGGAATCTATGTATAGCAGGCTAGAGCCTCCTGAGTAAGCTCTCAGCGTAGCCTAGCAGGCTATTTAGCTCAGCACCTAGCCCCTACAACAGAGCACACCCATTCAACTCTTTAATGAAGCAAGCACGCTCCTCCTAATAGTCACTTAAGTCTTTTCTCTTTCACCAGGAAAACTCCCGCACGATCCTCTGTCATGGTTATCAAAGGGTCAAGATTTTTCTCTCACTTCTATTATGTCTGATTTGTTCTTGTCTTGTTTTCTCTCACTGACCTCTATTCCTTTGCACTGCTGCTATATCTCCATGGTGTTCTGATAGGACCTATCCTCTCTTCCACCCAAAGCCTGGTGACTAATTCAGTCTTTGTGTTCATTACAGGAGTGGGAGGCAATGGGAGTAGAGCAGCTGCGTCTCAGCACCGTGGACCTGGTTGGAGTTCCCACACTGGAAAACCTGCAGAGAGGTGTTGAATTTGTACTGAAGCATCGGGATAGTGGAAATAGTGTCTATGTGCATTGCAAGGCAGGACGCTCCCGCAGTGCCACCATGGTGGCAGCATATTTAATTCAGGTTAGACTTCTGTACTGAAAGGGGACACATTTAGAGCCAGGCTCTCTGGATAGACAAACTGTTGATAAGATAAGGGGCCATCTCTTCTACAAGTTGCTTCCATTCAGTAAATTCAACTCAATGCATGACAGGGGAAGCTGCTGATGTGTGGGCAACAAGGAGTCTGGTCAGTATCAGATGCTTCAAAAACTAATTTTAAAAGATGTATTTAAGATGTTCCAGTTGTACTGAATCTAGGCTGCATGGCAACTTGAGGAGAGGAAACAGAGAATGTGGCTACACTCCAGACTCACTGGGGATGAGCTATTTCCCAGATACTCCTCTACTCATGTTGTGGGGGAGGTACAGTGAACAAGTAAAACTGCTTGATGAACTGGAACACAGGATACCTTTGATAGTCTAGCTCTAATCTCTGTACACATTGATACTACTGTGGGAATAGGTCTTCTAGGGTTCACTGTTTCATCTGCTCTCCGGACACGGACAGATCACTGCTTGCTGGAAGTGAGGTGCTAGTGTTTGTCACAAGGCAGTTCCCATTATAAGTAGTCTAGTTTGCCTGGCAGTCTCCTGTACAGTTATTCCTCTGGTTGCTCAGCTGTTTGCAAGGAAGCTGAATCGGTGGAGTTTCTTGGCTTCATGTGCAAATGGACTGCAATTAAATGCATGAGGCAACTGTCACATTTAGTTTGCTTAGAGTATTGTGACTGATTCTGTGATTGCTAGGCACAGGGGTTAGTCAGTACTCCTTGCTGTAATAAATCCTGACTGGCTCTGCTTCCCTCAGCCCTTCTCATGGGCAATGACTGTGATAGAGCAGCTACCCACTTGGAGAAAGTGGAGTTGCCAGTGGTCAAGAAAAGGACCTTGTAAGGACTCTGACAGGAGGCTTAGACCAGTGGTTTTCAAACTTTCTCAGGACTCAGTTGAAGGAAAATTGCTGATGCTCACAACCCAAAATAATTTGACTAGAGTGAGGGCTCCAGGATGGGGCTGAGGATGAGAGCTCTGGGATATACGAGGGGGCTCTGGCTTTGGGGGTGGGGTCAGGGCTGGGACAGGAGGGTTTTACCTCAAGTGGCTTTAGGTCAGCGGTGGTGTTAAGGCAGGCTTCTAGCTCCTCCTGCCACCACAGACCATGCTTCATTCCAGAAACAGTCAGCAACAAGTTCCTAGCCAATGGGAGTGCAGAGCTAGTGCTCAGGACAGGGGCAGTGCACAGAGCCCTGTGGGCTCTCCCGCCCCCACCCAGGAGCCAGGCCTGCTGCTGCCCACTTCTGGAGTGCAGCTCAGTCTGCAGTGAAAGGACAGGCAGGTGTCCTTCCTTAACATCCCACAAGTCACTGATCACCCTGCAGCAATGAGACCAAGGGTGCCTGACATTCCACAGCCCAGTAGTGCACTGAGACCATAGTTTGAAAGCCACTGGCTTAGACTAACTAGACATTGCACAGTTTTACTGCTTCTTAAATGCAAAATTTAATGCAGCATCAAGGGTAAGAATTTAAACAAGACAGAATAAAGATGAAGTTCCCACAAATGGACACAGGCTAATAACAGAATAAACTAATATAAAAATGTGAGTACAGCTGTGGAACCCTACTGCATTCATTAGCATTTGCTTGAGCAGTGGAGGGAAGCAAGAGCAGAGTCAGTCTTTCACCTGAACTAGGAAAGCATATCAGGTTAAATAAAGCTGCTGTCTGTCCAGGGCAGGAGAAGCTGTCCACAAAAGCATGATAATTTGGTGAGACATGGCGCTTCAGGTATACATTTGCCACCCCCTCAGGAGTCTCCCATTGAGAGCTGGGTGTCTCAAGGAGATAGGCAGCAGATAGTGTTCAGAACCAACAGGGATAAAGTGATCCACTTCCCTTAACCACCTAAACTTTAGTGTCTGGAAGAAAGCTAGCCTCTCCAGAAGCCTGTGTTGATCTTTAGACAGACATGATAGATTTTCATTTAGGGTTTATGCCTTTCCAGTTGTACCACTGGACCCCACAGGAAGCAGTAGACGCCATTGCCAGGATCCGTCCCCACATCCTTGTTCGCTCCAGGCAGGTCCAAGTCCTGGAGAGATTTCACAAGAATGTGGTTGCTGAGACAGCTGCAGAGAGTCAGTAAGAGCTACTAGCAACCATCCATCAGTCTCCCACAAAAAGCACAAGTTCTTAGTGAACTCATAAGAACAGACTGCTGCACATCTCAGCAAGCAATAAAGAACTTTTCAAACACATCACAGCAATGGTGAGCTTGGTTTTCTTTTTTTAATTAAAAGCTTCAAGCCTCATCTCACAACAAATACAATTCCTGACCCCAGCATTGTGCTATTGCCTCTTCCTCAAATCAGAATACCTGTAAGGATTTGATCTTCTGCCCCTCCCACCTCTGCATTACTGCAGGGGACAGAGCAATGTCTCTTCTCACATTAATACTACCAGCAAAAAAGAAATCATATATTTGTCCCACCAGACACTTGTATTCAGGCTCTCACCTGAAGGGTAATAGTGCCAGCAAGGAAGGGGGTGAGGAAATGAACTTAAGTTTAATCTTTAAGCATCATATAGCTCCGTAGTATAATGTCAGCAAGATGGGAGCACCAGTAGTGGGGCTGGAAACCAGCACTGGCACAATAGTACTATAATGATAGTTTTCCTCTTTCTGCGAGGTGGTAATGTAGCAGCAAGCACATCCCTGGCCTCTGCTTTAAGTCCATCTCCACTATGATGGTCCAAGGCCCTGACTTGGTTGCATTCTGCCCTACCACTGAAATCAAGCTACAGTATAGTCCGCTTTAGTCAGTGTCTCAGACATGAAGCCAGTGTTATAGCCTTAGCCAGAAACATTCATTGTTTCTTTCAGATGGCACAGAGGTTGGTTTTTTTTTTTTTTTTTTTTATGGGGAGAGGTGTCTGTGCAAGATGGCCAGGCCCTGTGATGTGACTAAATGGCAGCAGCACATGCAGCCTCCTGGCTTATTACCCTAAAAGGCTGTGAAAAAAGGCCTATTTGCTCATGCTAGGGCTTGCTGGTGGTGGATAGTTCAGGTTTAATAAGCTTATCTGCTGCAGTTTGAAACACAGCTTCACATCAGAGGATCATAGTACACTATTCGGTCCATCTGGGACATAAGATGTTGTAAATCAACTTAGAAAGTGTACTGAAAGAGAAAACAGCCCTACATCCAGGAAACTCATATTGTCTGCAAGCAGGACTAAAGAGGAGGGGGCACTCTATGATGCTGTGAGCTGGTCTTGTTGGGGCAAGTGGTAAGGGGACTGGGTGCCTCTAAGCTGCTTTATGTCCATATTGTGTAGTCCATAGGCCGGTCACCTCAAGCCAGCACAAACTGCAGGTTCGTGAGCAGCACCTTGATGCCACTGGTGACCGTCACCACAGAGGTTGCTGGGTTGAGTTTGAAGGTGTTGGCATCTCCCTTTTTGTAGCGATCCCGAAAGACATAGATGCTGCCATTACAACTGGCAATTTTCCAGAGGGATGGTACTGAGCTCCAGGCATCGGGCAGGCAAAGTCGGGTGAAGCTATCAAGGAGGGGATTATAGCACAGCAGGGAGTCCCCCTCAGCCACAATGAACACTAGGTCTTTATGCACAGCAGCATGCATGTGCCCTGCAAAAGGCAATACATAAGGCTTCACATGGCACTTCTCTGTATTGGTGTCATAGCACTGAATGATCCTGGAGGGCTTGGTGAAGAAGTCAAGGTCGTTCTCCTCCCCACCCAGCAGGTAAATGATACCATTGAGGTTGACACCTGCAGCCCCAGAAACAGCTACCTCCAGCTGGTTGGTCTCTGTCCACACATTGTCTCGCACCTTGTAGTATATGACAGCATTGGAGAGAGTATCCTGCAATGTCTTTCCCCCCAGTGAGTATATAGCATCCTTACTTGGCACAGAGACTAGGGTGTGCTGGAGCCGGTCACGGGGCAGTGGAGCACACCATTCCCAGTCTATGGTGGCATTGTTACATTTCCACATGCGACGTGGAATGGATCCCCCTACAACATAGAGGTCACTGCCATGTTTGCAAGCCGCAGTGATCTGATGGCACAGGCTATTTTGGCCACTCACACTGATTGAGTCATCATCAGCACAATGCAGAGAGACAGCAAGTGAGTGTGTACGCGACGACTCCTTCCCAATCAGGTAGATGTGAACATTCTCCCCAATCTCCTGATAAGAAAGAGAGAAGGGAAGGAGGTTGTGTCAGAATTGTGGTAAATAGGAGTTATGTCATAACACACATGCTAGCAACAGCCAAAGCTCAATTTACTTTAGGAAGTTTTGGGGCACAGTAGCTCTGTGCTAAATCATTTCAGCCTCACTTGACTATAAGATCTCAGGCCCCTACATTCTCCACACACAGTGGCTACGTCTACACTGGCCCCTTTTCCGTAAGGGGCATGTAAATTTCACCTATCGTCATAGGGAAATCCGCGGGGGATTTAAATATCCCCCGCGGCATTTAAATAAAAATGGCCGCCGCTTTTTTCCGGCTTTTAAAAAAGCCGGAAAAGAGCGTCTAGACTGGCCCCGATCCTCCGGAAAAAGTGCCCTTTTCCGGAGGCTCTTATTCTTACTTCAAAGTGCCCTTACTTCCTCCGGAAAAGGGCGCTTTTTCCGGAGGATCGGGGCCAGTCTAGACGCTCTTTTCCGGCTTTTTTAAAAGCCGGAAAAAAGCGGCGGCCATTTTTATTTAAATGCCGCGGGGGATATTTAAATCCCCCGCGGATTTCCCTATGACGATAGGTGAAATTTACATGCCCCTTACGGAAAAGGGGCCAGTGTAGACGTAGCCAGTGTGTCAAGCCTTTTCTATTCACTTTTTATTCCTGACCAGGGCCCTGCACCATAATCTACACAGTGGGTCTGTAGTTCAGTTAAGGACTAGGAAATGCTCAGGGGCAGAATTCTAGATATGGGAATGCAAGTTCTAAGCTTTCTAAACCAGTCCCTTAGCTGTGTACTTGAGGAATACCTGGCTAATAACACTCATTAGTTAACCTTATTGGCAAAAGTAGTATAAAAGGCTGACTCCATTGACAGTACCTGGGGTTTTTTACGTTTGTGTATTTGTGGTATTGAAGCCACAGCTTTTTCAAACCTGCTAAGAGGTCACAAATGCGGGCAGGAGTCCTTCCTCAGTGAGTAGGAAACCAGAGCAGTATGGTAACTACACTAACCATGAAGCACAAGGGCTATCCATACCTTCAGACTGGATCGCAGCATTTCTGAAAATCCTGCCCGCTCTTCTTTGTTGAAGTTTATCCAAGTTTCTATGGCAACTGTTGGATTCTGTGAACAGGGAACACCATCTGTGGTTTCAGAGACAAAACAATTTACAATAAATTGACATGCAATTCTCAAGGCATGAAACAGTCACCTTTTACCCCATGGCTACGTCTAGACTGGGATGATTTTCCACAAATGCTTTTAATGGAAAAGTTTTTCCGTTAAAAGCATTTGCGGAAAAGAGCGTCTAGATTGGCATGGACGCTTTTCTGCAAAAGCCCTTTTTGTGGAAAAGCATCCGTGCCAATCTAGACGCAGTTTTGCGCAAGAAAGCAAAGATCGCCATTTTCGCCATAGGGGCTTTTTTGCGCAAAACAGTTTTTAGCTGTCTACACTGGCCCTCTTGCGCAAAACATTTCCGGAAAAGGGCTTTTGCCCGAACGGGAGCTTCGAAGCATTTGCGCAAGAAGCACTGATTTCGGACAGTAGAACATCAGTGCTTTTGCGCAAAATCAAGCGGCCAGTGTAGATAGCTGGCAAGTTTTTCTGCAAAAGCAACTGCTTTTGCAGAAAACCTTGCCAGTCTAGACGCAGCCCATAGTATCTTTGAGGTGGAAAGAAGTTAACAACCCCTATTTTGAGTGGATCAAGAATGACACTGCAGTTTATAAAACTTGGCTGGTCTATCCAGTAGGAGCAACTGGGCATCTATATCAAAGTCTACCTGGCTCAACATCAGGAGAGACACTATTCCTGGGTGAAACAGCAAGTGTTCTATTTGAGGGGGTCTCTGTACCATAAGTTAGAATGTCAGTGAGCCACTGTCACAGATCTTAGCAAGCACCCTTCATAGGCACTCACTGGAGGACTGTTAAGAGAGGACTCCAAGCTTCAATGCTCCGGATCCCCTGAGATGCATTAAGCTTCTAGAGCCTAGTTGGGCTGCAGCACCAACTCTTCCCTTGGTTTCTCTGATCTAATTTCTGCACACTGATTCTCAGTCTGCTAGGTCTTGGAGATGGAGTTCCTCAGCCCATCTGCAATAGGGCCCCAGGACCAGCACTTCCCCCAAAGATACTATAGTTACTTAAACATGTCCCTTTCCCATAATACCACCCCAAAGACACGTAGCTTCTGGTTTATAATTTAACTCTCAGGGGCACGCAGCAGTTGTGAAGCAGTGAACACACTCACATACTTTGCACAGAGTTTAACAACTTTCATGCTTAATCACATAAAGAATACAATAACAATTATACAAGACAGACATCTTAAACACCTCAGCCCCTCACTTCCTAGCTCACCTTTCCCTTGGCAGTCTCATGAGGAAGCTTTGCATTAATTCTTGCCAGAATAATGAGGACAGTTTTTACACCTGTGACATTTTAAACCCAGCAAAATACAGGCAAGCAGATTTGTCCTTTCCTGGCAGAAATGGTATGGCACAAGAGGTAAATTGCCCTATAAAACAGTGGTCACCAACCAGTAGATCTTAGAGCCTCTGACAGGTGATCTTGACTGGTTTGGCCAAGAGGCTGTCAAGTACCAGCACTTCAGCTGCTGTTCCTCCCACTGCTGCTTTGTCTCCTGCCCTTTGCCACTGTGCCCACCACCACCACCACCACCACCACCCAGGGAGCCTTCTGCTTGCTGGGCAGGAAAGGGAAGGGAAAGGAGGGGGCGCTGATGTCAGGATGCCCCCCTCTTTCACCCTGTATTCTATCTCCACAGAAAAGGGAGAGGACCACAACAGGGCTTGGAATGGGGGGGATTTGCTGGATGCTTTTGAGAGTGGTACAGGGCCAGGGCAGAGGTAAGCCTTCCTTAGCCCCACTGCTTACCACCTAGGAGCCACCTGAGGTAAGCAGTGTCCATCTGGAGCCTGCTCCAAACCCATGCCCCAGTCATGAACCTCCTCCTGCACTCCAAGCCCCTGCCCTAGTCCTGAGCCACCTAGACCCAAACTCCCTTACAGAGCCTGTATCCCGAACACCCCCACTCCTGCATCCCAACTCCCCGCCCCTGGCTCAGCTCAGAGTCCCCCACACACTCCAAATCCCTTAGCCCAAGACCAGAGCCTGTGCCCCAACCATCTGCCCCTTTGTGGTGAAATGGAGGGAGAAAAAGAGGACCGAGTGAACAGGGTCAGGGCCTCAGAGAAAGGGCAGGAAGGAGGCGGAGAAAGTATTTGGGTTTGAGGTAGATCTTACATTGCACTTAAATTGAAAAAGTGATCTTGTGGTTAAAAAGGTTGGAGACCACTGCTCTAAAATAAAAAGGATTCTCTAAAGATACACAGTACCAAGAATAACCAGTTGTAATGTTTGTGTTTGATCATAGCAGAGCTAACAGCTAAATTCTATTAATTGCTTATTTGTTTGGCAAATAAGGAAGCAGTTCATGCGTTGCTCAGGTTCATGCTTCTGAAATAGTATTATCAGGTAAGTGACTACCAGTACCAGCCTTTACACAACCAATGTTAAAGAGTTATCACAGCAGCACTTCAACATCACTGTTCCCCTCCTCTCAGGGCCACCTACCAGGAGGAATGGCAGAAGGGGCAGCTGCTCACACAAATGGACGGAGCCTGGGTCCTTAAATTGCTGCATGAGCCCCAAGCAGCATGTGCTGTGCAGCACTGAAAAGCTGACTGGAAAGGGTGGTCACCAGGCCCCCATACTAGGAAGATTTTTAAATGATTTTCATCTCTGCCTTTAAGGTTAATAAATACACCTGAGATATCAGTGAGCAGGGACCCCCATAAGATTTAATGCTAAGCATCCCCTGAAACCTGTGGGTTGGATGATGTTACCCTTTCCTCAGAAACTGTTGTGATAGCCAATATGGACACATTGCAAACATCTTTTATATTTATTAACATTACCGATCCCCTTGTGATGGTAGACATACACATGACCTCCTCCCTCCCTGCAGTTCCTGGGGTGGGGAGACTTGGGCTGTGGGGCCTCCTCCCTCCCCGTTGCTCCTGGGGGCAGGGAGGCTCGGGCCGTGCAGCCTCTTTCCTCCCCACTGCTATAGGGATGCTGGGGCACATGTGGTCTTCCCACCCCCGTGGGAGTGGGGAGGGGGCAGGTATATGGCACCCTCCCTCCTGCTGCTCCCGGGGAACGGGGTGTTGGGGCCATGTGTCCTCTTCTCTCTCCGCTGCTCTGGGGATGCTGGGGCACATGCTCTTCCCCTCCCTGTGTTAGGGGCAGGGTATGTTGCTGCTCAGGGGTGGGGCCTCAGTGGAGAGGGTGGGGCTGGAAGCCTGCCTCTCCTTAGAAACTTCTCAAGTCTTCTCCAATGTTCTCTGTGACAGATGGCATGACGGACACCTCTCCTTTTATAATAGTATAGATACAGATATAGATGTGACTACTGCTCAAAGCTGGAAGTTCATGGTCACCTGCAGTTATCAAGGCTTCTTTGATTAAGTGTCATGCTGAATGGTTTTCTGTGGGAAGACTTGCTTCACTCAGCTTCTAAATAAGATAGTTGGGTCCTCTAAATCCCATCCTTTTGTCCTTTTTCAAAGCCACCCTGCTGGTTAATTAGGTAATCTCCACAAGCGTCTTAGCCACCCCAATACTCAATCCGTACCCACATCCTGGCTTGTCTCATAGCTCCCTGTACCTACCTGTAAGGATGTCTGTCAGCAGGCGGAGAGGTAGGTTGAGAAATTCCTCTGTGTCCTGAAGCTGTGACAAATGTGACTTGGCGCAGTGCTTTGCAGCTGTGTAGAGCTCTGTATCACTGTGTTGATCTGCCAGCCACATAACCTGAAGACAATTCCTCACCTGCACTGTGCGGGCCAGGAATCGGGAGCACTCCTCAAAAAGGGCAGTCAGTTGGTACATATCTGCCACCTCATATGTCTCCTGCAACTCTTCTGCCCTCAGTTTTACAGTCCCGTGGTAAATATAGTCCACCAGGAGCTGGAAGACACTCTCACTAACATCTTGCAGCTCAATCACCCGATTGTGGGCCTCCTTCAGGTTGGAAGTGAACATGGAGCGAAAGAAGCAGCTCTGGGCAGAGAGGACAAGCCGGTGTAGCTGGAATTCCTTGCCTTCCACTGAGATCGTGACATCAGCAAAGAGCTCATCCTCCAGGCAGAGCTTCATTATACCCTGAGCTACACGGCCTGAGTGAGAACGGTCAGTGAAGGTGTAGTTCACGAAGTAGTTCTCTTCTGTCGAGGAGCCCCCAGTCTCCTCTGATGAGTCCATGTTGCTGCAAAAAAAAAAAAGGGGGGGGGGGGGCAGTGAGATTCTCCCCCTCAACTAACAAGATCGTACGGTCTCAGAAGGGTAGCCATGTTAGTCTATAACTGAAAAAACTTAACAACGAATAGTCCTGCAGCACCTTAGAGATGAAGAAAAAATGTAGACGGTACCATGAGCATTCGTGGGCACAACCCACTTCTTCAGATGAATGGAGTAAGCGGTACAGAGTACAAATAAATAGCAAAGAGAGAGGGGATGGGGAAGGAAAAAGATCCCCTCTCTTTCTCTGCTCTTTATTTCTACCCTGTACTCCTTACTCCATTCATCTGAAGGGGTTGTGTCCATGAAAGTTCATGATACTATCTACATTTTTTCTCATTCTCTAAGGGTGCGTCCATATAGCACCCTAAACTCAAAATAAGACATGCAATTTGCGCTATGCAAATTGCATATTTTATTTTGATTGAATTTTGAAATAACATGCTATTTTGAGACATTCCTTAGCCCTCATGGAACGGGGGTTACAGGGATGCCAAAATAGGCCTCAAAATAGCAGATGCATTCAAAAGACGCATAGTAGTTATTTTGAGATACTTCCGGTATCCCAAAATAGCCCTGCTGTGTAGTTGTACCCTAAGGTGCCGCAGGACCATGAGTTGTTTTTTAAATCATACAGCTCAGGGTATATGCAACTCCAAAAGCCAAGAGGAGGGATGGGTAGCCAGACAACCTGCAGACTAAGTAACATAGTGACTAGAAATTTTCATCCGATCTGTAGCACTTCCTTGTACAGTAAAACTCCGATGGTCTGGCATCTGATGGTCCGTCACTCCTGATGGTCCAGCACCATCAGGAACCCGGAAGTGCTCCGGGCAGCCGGACCATTGGCGCTGCTCTGCCCCCAGCTTTCCCGATTCAGCCGCTGCTGAAACTGATGAGCGGCTGACTCCAGGAAGCCCGAGGCAGAGCTGCTCTGCCTCCGGCTTCCTGGAATCAGCCCCTGATCAGTTTCAGCAGCAGCTGACTTTGGGACACCTGGGGCAGAGCAGCTGGGGTGCTGCCGGGTTGGTCTCGCAGCGCCACGGGTTGGCTCTACCAGACCAGCCCCACAGCACTCCAGCTGCTCTGCCCCAGGCATCCCCGATTCAGCCGCTGCTGAAACTGATGAGCGGCTGACTCCAGGAAGCCCGAGGCAGAGCTGCTCTGCCTCCGGCTTCCTGGAATCAGCCCCTGATCAGTTTCAGCAGCAGCTGACTTTGGGACACCTGGGGCAGAGCAGCTGGGGTGCTGCCGGGTTGGTCTCGCAGCGCCACGGGTTGGCTCTACCAGACCAGCCCCACAGCACTCCAGCTGCTCTGCCCCAGGCATCCCCGATTCAGCCGCTGCTGAAACTGATGAGCGGCTGACTCCAGGAAGCCCGAGGCAGAGCTGCTCTGCCTCCGGCTTCCTGGAATCAGCCCCTGATCAGTTTCAGCAGCAGCTGACTTTGGGACACCTGGGGCAGAGCAGCTGGGGTGCTGCCGGGTTGGTCTCGCAGCGCCACGGGTTGGCTCTACCAGACCAGCCCCACAGCACTCCAGCTGCTCTGCCCCAGGCGTCCCCAAGAGCAGCTCGGGTGCTGCCAGGTTTGTCTTGCTGCGCCACGGGTTGGCTCTACCAGACCAGCCCCACAGCACTCCAGCTGCTCTGCCCCAGGCATCCCCGATTGGCCCGGCAGCGGCTGAATCAGGGACGCCTGGGGCAGAGCCGGACTATCGGAAGGCGGGGCTATGAGGGGTCTGGGGTGGCATCCCCCACCCCACCCCAGATCCCTCATAGCCCTCCCTTCCGATAGTCTGGCAAATCTGATAATCCGGCACCCCCTGGGTCCTAAAGGTGCTGGATTATCAGAAGTTTACTGTAACTACAGCACATGAGGTGGTGAAAACTGCAATAGAGATATACTACAGTGATAACCTCATGCATCAGTGGAACCCCATTATTCTATTCTCTGGAACAAGCAAATAATCCTTTCATTCCTATCAGCTCTGTAGCGAAATACTGCAAAACAGATTAAGGATATACTGGGGAAATATCCAGCATCCCAAATCATGACTCTGCCCTTTACAAATGCCAAGGGAATCTCCCTTTACAACCTAGAAGCTATATGAAAGAAATTTCAGAATGAATGACTCTGCTAAAGTCAGATTCATTCTTCTTATATTGCACACTCCCATCCAGTTTCACAACAGGGATTTCTCAAACCAATAAAGCAAGGAAAATATGGTATTATTATGTTGAAAACAAGACCAAGGTATGGTGTTTTGTCAAAAAACAGAGGCAAGTTAGGTGCTAATTACTATATGAAAATGAGGTGATGTATGTATAGAGATAAATGCATCGGGTGTTTATTTTACTGAAAAAGAAGAATCAGAAAAGTTCTCCAACTACCCAAATGAAAAATTTGCTAAGTGCCTGATGACTGCACGAAGTGCCTTGAATTAGGGGTGTAAAATCCCATTTAATTAGTTAACCGGGTAAATGTTATGTTTAACCAGTTAACCCAGCGTTTCCCAAACTATGGGCTGCGGCCCAGTACCGGGCCACGGGAAAAAAATACCGGGCCTCAGCGTGGCTGCTGGGAGGGGAGGGGAGCGGGGTGGGCTGGGAGGAGGTGTGTGTATGGGGGAAACTGGCCGCCGGGAAGCAGGGTTGTCTGGCAGAGGCCAGGAAGGGGGCAGGTGGCCAGCGGAAGCAGGGCTGGGTGGGGAGGAGG